GCAGGGCACGGAGCTTAGTGCGGAGAAAACCCCGTGGTGCCGGCGGTGCTGGTGACTTTTCTTGGCAGGGGAACTACCCGAGGGTCTGTGGTGGAAGCAGAGGCTGGAAAGTTTGAAGACTGGACAGAAATTTGGGACAGGCTAAAGCCTTGGAAGACATTTCTAAAGAAAAGGACTTTAAGTACTCCTACTCGGTCTATGGGTTTTTTTTCCTTTCTTTTCAAATCATGTTGTTAGAACAAAACAAAACGGCTCTTAGAAGATAACACTGTGGAAAAATAATGCAAAACTGTTCCAAGGAAAGTTAATAGTGCATAATAAAAAATAAAAAATGAACATCTCAAATGAGGAATTCGGGCAGAAGAATCAATGCATTTCAATAAGGCTGTTACTGGCTAGCCAAGTCATGTTGTTTTCCCCACACAAAGTGGGATTGGGCTGGATCAGTAACTGAGCCAGCAATGCCAAATTAGCCCCAGCTCTGTTTAACAGAAATGCCATGTTGTGGATGAGGCAGCATTCACATGCTGAAATAACAACCTTTAAAGAATCCCATGGCACTCTTTCTGGAGAGCGGGTGTTTAACTGCTAGTTTGGATAGCTTCCAACTTGGGTATCTGTTTTTTTTTTTTTTTTTTTTTCTACCTTTGCCTTGTATTTAATACCATTTTATTTTAGAAAATAGTCTTCTCAATGGGACTAACTTCTAAAAATATTCTCTACAGTCTGAGTGCAGGTGGCCTAAATCAACTTTAGGAACTACAGTCTGACCAGCTGCAGTCTCAGTTGCCTCTTTAGTTGAAGACAGCATTTTCCAATTCATTTTCTGCCTTTTGGACTGCTGTATCTTGGAGTATTCTTCCCCAGAAGTGAAATTAGCAGCAGTGTCTGAGGTAATTCTGGGCAAAGCTTGTGAAAGGCTCTGGTATTAAATACTTTAAATACAGACCATTAGTATTTTTAAAGCTCAAATCTTAATTAAGAGACTGTGTTTGAATTTTGTCATCTGGAAAAAAAAACAGGTTCTCAGAGTAGTTGTTGCCAGTCTGATGCTATGGAAGATAACTATGACTCCAACTGTACAAACTGTCTTGTTGACATGTCGCTACTTCTTTATTATCTACTTAACAATAAAAGAATAATTTGGAGGTGGGGAGGAATGAAATCTGTAATCCAAATTATTCTGTCTCATCAGGCTGTGTGCTGCCTCTCAGCAGAGGATGATAGCGGGAACTCTGCAAAGACAGGTTGCCTTAAGGCAGCGCTCTGTGATTTGATCCTCCACCAGGGAGGAAAGGGAGGAAATAACCACTTCCATTTGAAATTTCCAGGTTAACTACGAAGTTGTTACAGGTGCAGATAGGGAGGTCACTGTCTGAGGGTTTAGCTGTTTAGATTTATAGTAGAGGTGTTTCATGTTAAATTGTGAGACTTCTTAATGGGTAATAGTTAAGAATTGCAAATTATCTGAAGCAATCTAAGATGGTTAAATTAGCTCCCAGGACAGAAAGGTAATTTACTGACTGTAATTTGGAATGTCCCAGCACCTCAGGCAATACAGCTCATGTGCACGAGATGAATTAAGCCTGTGGAAGAACAAAAGGGGCAAATGGAAATTTTTTACTCGGTGTACTTGCAGGTAGGGTTCTTCAGGTATATAAATATGGATCTCACTTAAAATAATTTGTAGAGAAATTCTCGCACCTATATATATATAACAGCACTTTGATGTTCCATCTTATTTGGGGACATAAGTGTGTGTTATGTCTTTTTTTGTTTTGTTTTGTTCTACAAAAATATTTACTCAGATAA